TTGGAGAATCTAATTTTTTTTTATAGTACAATTATTATACTTTAAAAAAGTTGATTTTCTAAAATTACCCTTTTGATAATATATTTTTTAGGAATAGCAATGTCATAATTGTACTTTTTATATTGTTTATTAATTTAAAAGAAGGACAAAATAGAAAATTTATATTATTCTTGTACTTAATTTTTGAAGAAGAACTAATATTTTAAGACAATAAAAAATAAAATAAGGAACTAATATTTTGAGACGAGTAGTCATAGACTCTAAGTACATAAATGAAGGAACAAAACAAATAGAAAGTGATGATGCTGATGATGGTAAGCAAAAGCATGAATTATTGAATTGTGCTGTGAGAGCTAGCTAGTGAGTGCAGGAGACAAAGGGAAGGGCATATCAACTCAATGTAATGTAGGGGATATAAAATAACTAAAAACATTTTTTTTTTTTGGTTAAATTTAATAATTAAAATAATATTTTTTTTATTTTTACTTAAAGAAAATAGCTAAATAGTTTAGATTGAAAAGAAATTTAAAAATTATTATTTAAATTAAAATTGCGTTTGAAATGATTATATAAACCCAATATTTAAATCGCACAAGCTTAAATAAACACAAAAACCTCTTACTAAATAATGTGGATCCGACCCGAATCCGGCTGGTGACTGCCATCACAACTAACCTTACATATTAGCGTCAGGTCATTCAAATAATTACCCAATCCATCAATCGAGGGCAGCTTGTCAGTGTTTTTGGGCTTTGAGAGTTTATCACGGATTCTGTTTTGATAATCTAAATTGTTTAATATATAAATCTCGTCGAGTATTTAATTCTTATAAAAAATTATTTTGATCGAATATCGATAGTTACTTGATCGGATCAGATTTTTGTCAATAATTTATTTTAAAACACTACGTTAAAACAGGACATTAACGACGGTTTTCATTACCGCCATTAAAGATACTATTAACGGCGGTAACAAAACCGCCGTTAAAAAAACCGCCGCTAAAGTATCTTTAACGGCAGTAATGAAACCGCTGTTAAAAAAACTACCACTAAAGCCATCTTTTAACGGTGGTAACGAAACCGCTGCTAATGCCCTCTCATTACCGCCGTTAATGACGACGGTCTTTGCCAGCAGAGCTCCGGTGGAACTCCGGCTAGTGGTGATCACGCACGGTCAGAGGTTGAACATGACTATCTACAAAAAATTATTTCATATAGAGTGGTTGTGGTGGAGTGGTTGGCATGTGTGGATTAGAGGTCAAGACCTGGGGGCGCAAGAAGAGAAAATTATTTTTTTTTAAATTTGAACCTATTTATGGCGGTAAAGAACCGCCATTTTTGGTCCTATATTACTGCCGTTTTTGGTCGACTTTTAATAACGGTAATTTATCTTTTTACGACGGTTGTACCTTTTCCGACATGAGTATAGATGGCGGTCCTAAATTACCGCCGTTAAAGACTTTAACAGCGGTTTTACATCCTTTAACGACGGTAAAGGATCGCCACTAAAGCCCAATTTTGACGTAGTGAAAATTATATTTACCATTGATAGAAATTTGATCCGATCAAGTAACTTTTGATATTTGATCAATGGGATTTTTATGAAAATAAAGTATTTAACGAGTTTTATATAGTGAACGGTTCGAATTATTAAAACGGACCCATAATAAATCTCTACGGGCCCAATAGTACACCCTAATCCGGATAGCCCCCATCAATGTTGTCTCCATCTCAAGGAAGTTGTGCTGTCATGGAAAAAGGTGAAGAATAACGTGGCTAAGAGCATCTCCAATCCAATCCTCTCCCCAAGAGGATGAAAATAATTTTTTTATTTAAAAAGTAAATATAGAGTAGGTTACTATTTATTCAAACTCCAATCACAAACTTTCAAAACCTTTCATCCTCCCTTCATCAAAAAGTAATTTTTGTTCATTAACAAATATTTAATTTTAAAATTTTTGTAAAATATATTTAATATTATACTCATTTTAAAGGTATGATTTTACATTTTTTAATGATATCAATTTTATAAAAATTAAATTTATATATTAAAAGTTATTTGTAATATAATAAAAAATATAGAATGAATAGTGTTACAGAGATGATCCTTCATTTTTCATACTCCCTTGAAATTTGAAGGATGAAACATCCATCCTCCCAAATAGAGGATGATATAGAGGATGGATTGGAGTAAACTTTTTCAAAGGATCCTCTATATTTGAAGATATAGAGCCGCTTCTCCAACCCAATCCTCTCACCAAGAGGATAACAATCACTGTGTTTGGTTTGAGTTTTCTGGATTAAATTTTTTGAAAATTGAGTTTTTTGATTTTCGTATTTTTTTGTTTTTAGTGAATATTTTTAAAATTTTAAACATTTTTTTTACTTTTTTAGATGCACCTTACTTAGATGTGTCTAAAAAGTAAAAAAATTGTGAAAAAATGTTTTAAAAAATTAAGCAATACATAAAAATACAAAAAATGTACTAAATTCTTATATTTTTTTTAATATTTTTGGTATTTAGTGAATTTTTAAAAGATTTTTTTACAATTTTTTTACTTTTTAGGTGTATTTATGTTAGGTGTATCTAAAAAGTAAAAAATTTGTATAAAATATTAAAAAAATTCAGTAAAAACAAAAAATACGGAAAATAAGGGTGTAGAATTTTCTGAAAACTGTTTTTAAAAAATGAGAATCAAGCAAAGTGAATAATTTTTTTTATTCAAAAAGTAAATATAGAGTATGTTACTATTCATTCAAACTCCAACCATAAACCTTCAATCTCTTCATCCTCCCTCATCAAAAAGTAATTTTTGTTCATTAACAAATATTTAATTTTAAAATTTTTGTAAAATATATTTAATATTATACTCATTTTGAATGTATGATTTCACATTTTTTAATGATGTCAATTTTATAAAAATTAAATTTACATATTAAAAGTTATTTGTAATATAATAAAAAATATAGAATGAATAGTATTTTGGAGGGCATCCTCTATTTTTCATTCTCCCTTCATATTTGGAAGATCAACTCATCCTCCTCTCAAATAGAGATGGATTTAGAGGATGGGTTGGAGGAACAAATCCTTCATATTTGAAGTTATGGAGGATGCATTGGAGATACTCTAATTGTGATGAGTTGAGATCCTCTCTGACTCTTTTCTTATATTCCTACTTACAATGGTAAAAATACACTTTAAATTGATCCAACAATTCAAATTTGATTATTTCAAATAAAAAAAAATAAACAAATTCAAATTTACTTTTCTAGCCCAAATCTGAACCGTTGAATCAACTTAATGTGTATCTCCACCTTTATAAGTAAGGAAATAAGGAAAGAGTCCAAAGAGAAAATCTCAACTTAATTACGAACTAATGATAACTCGTAAAAAAAGAAAGAAAGAAGAGATTAGATATCATTAAAAAAAAAAAACAAACAAAACAAAACAAAACTTTGAATCCTCTAGAAAATCATACAACGTTAATTATAATAAAGCAATCCAAATCATAATCAACAATTAAGAAAAAATATCAAATCAAAGAGAAATTGGTTGAAACAATAACATTATAACTGAAAGCTCCTAACCAAAGCTACAACCATACTACAACTTTCAAAATTAAGGTAATAAGGCCCCGTTTGGGGACTTACCATTTTAGTCAAAAAGTCAAAAAGTTACCTTTTTAGTCAAAAAGCCAACAACTCATATCAAAAAGTCAAAGATTCTCTTTTCTCTCTACTTTTTGTACATCTTTTCGTAATTAGCCACAAAGTCATCCCAAACATATAAGTTTTTTTTACCTACTTTTTTAGCCAAATAGCCAAAAAGTTACTAAATTAGCCTGTTCCCAAACGAGGCCTAAGTAGTTGTTTGGCATGTTATTTTAACATATCATTTTATTTACATCACAATCATCTTATAAATCATATAATTTCTTATTTAAATTACATCACCTTTTTATAACATTACTTCAAATTCAACTCATATTTCATATTTTTTCATAAAAAATCAAAAAATATATTAATTTAATACTTTCGAAACAACCCTAATGATAAGTTACTTATAAGTACGTGCACTAAATAGAAAAAATTAGTTTGAAGTCACAGATCAGCCAAAAATGTAAGCAAAACATCGACAACTATCTCTGTGTCGCTCTCAACTAGATGAATGGAGAAAGGGCTATCCTGGTGGATGCACTACCCATACCCTTTTTAATTAATTAATTAATTTTTTTTTAAAAGCAGCCCAATGTACAAACAACAAAATTCAAAGAACATGAAATCAATGATCAAATGTAATGAACCTTCTTTTCACCTTTGAAAAGATTGCCAATTATTCGCATGATCCAAATTTCAATAGCCCGTAATAAAAATTCCATAATCAGATTTACAATAATTCATCACAGCCACCACTCACAAAAGCCCAAAATGCTGACAAATTTCCACAATGGGTGTAACCATCTCAACTGAACATTTACCATCTAAATCCAGAAAGAACAAGGAAAACTGTTCTTCTGTTCTGGTGACACCCTATGCCATAGCATGATGGATGATCAATCCTTTACATTGACAGATGGACAGGGTACTGTACTGACTGATTAATTACAAAAATAGTTTGTCCCGTACATCCCAAAACCCGACATTTGTAAATGTGAGCTGGTTCTGGTTGCAGCCACTGCTGGATTTGCATCACATCGAGCTTTCTTTGAACTACTTCCAGAGTCATCAAACTTCAACGGCGCACAACCCCATTGGAAAGACTCGTATGAAGAAGGCCACTGGCACTGAGGGGAATAAGACCGCTCCGATGGATACTCAAAACCTTTGGCCATTTCCATTAACATGCTCTGCAATTCTTCCATTGTGTAAATCTTGTCCTGTGCAAAGGCATCCATGAAAATACCTCAGTATGCTTGGTTGGTTATCTAAGATGTGCAACGACTTGAAAAACAAAAAAAAATCCAGGCACATCCACATCAAACTACCACAAATTGGGTAATTCTTAACCACCACCAATTTATTTTGGCCAATGCATACAATACAACACCACACCCACAAGCAAGGTGGTCACAGATGCACAATCACAATAAGGCATCAGCCTAAATATAGAAACAAAAGCAGATAGAACGACAACAACCACAACAATAATAAGCAAGCCACTTTGTTCACTTCTTTTTCTTTTTCTCAATACATGCAATAAACTGTAAACCACAGGTGTATTGGGTATAGGTTAAACCAGAGTGTTATGCACCTCTGAGAATGAAACAAGAGACCTCAATAATTACCCATAATTATTTGATGCAACACTACTATCACTTTCTTCAACCCCTTAACTACTGGGCCACATGCGCAGATTCTCAACTTTGTTTCCTAAATTAAAATCATATTGATTCCATTCTCATTTTTATTGTGGTAAATATCCTTTCCTTAGAATTACTATCTTGACATTGATGAGTTGGGTCTTATTCCAGCTTAGCCTATGGCTCAGACAATGCTGGAAAGAGTCCTTACCATGGCAAATTTAACTAGAAGGGGAGATTCAGTGTTCGTTGTCTTATAAACCTCCTAAGCCTCCGTTTGGGAAGTGGGTTGGCTTTTTGGCTTTTTTGGCTATTTTAGTCTGGGCTAAAAAGTTTGGTTTGGAAAGGGCTTTTTGACTTTTTTGACTTTTTTTGTGAGAGAAGAGTGTAATGATTATGGGTTGGATGTGATGTTTTATTTTTTGTGACTAAAATAGCCTATTTTGCTTTTTATGGCTAAAATAGCCAAAAAAACCCCAAACTCTTCTTACCAAACGAACCCTAAGTTCCATTAACAAGTTCTCATTTTTCACAATTCGCTTCTACATAATTAAACCCATTTCTAAGAACTTTCATAGAGAAACACTTGGGAAACATAATTAAATGGTAGGAAAAGAGAGATGATGCCAATAACTATGGAAAACAGAGCAGGAAAAATACATACAAAAAATAAAATAAAATAAAATGGGATTACATCAAACATAGTAGTAATTTCAAAAGAAGACAATGATTAGACATCCAACACACAAGTAAACTGAGTTAATCATGTTCATACCTCTCTCCTAACCTCAGCCATTAGAGACATCATTTCTTGCAGAAAATCAGAGAAGCCCTGAAATCAATTCAATACAATAATTAACAAATTGCCAGCAGCATTAAACTCCAAATGAACCATCAATCAAAAATCAGAAACATGTACAAAAATATTAACACAACAAATTACACATGCAAACTTGCACCAATTTATGATGAAAGATATACACACCTCATCCTCTTCTTGAACAAAATCATATAATCCCGCGTCGTACGTTGTTCTCTTCCTCTTATCCGACAATACTGCAGTTCCAATCAAACCAGTTCAAACCCATAAATTAAATTATTTTTTTTATATTAAGAGGTTGGCCTGAACTGGCTATTTTTGTTACCAATTTTGCCCTCCATAAGTAACATATTAGGTTCAAATAAGGAAAATGCTATGGATCTCAAATAAATTATCAAATTTTTTACAAAACCTCTCACATGAGTGTGGGACCCACACACATGCGATTTGTGTGGGTCCCACGCCCATGTGAAAGGTTTGATAAAAAATTTAATAATTTATTTAGAATTCCCAGCATAACTCTACAAATAAATCATAAAATACTATTCACCATTACTAGACTATATTTTAGACTAAAATAATAATTTGAAACAATAATGGGTTGGGAGTATAAAAAATGTTTATGGAACCAAAATTTTTTCATTCCAAAGATATTCAATAAAATAATAGAAAAAGATATTAAACAATAATGAGAGCAATGTTGCGTAACTCGAATTTTATCTTGTCCGAATGGCTTAAATTTTGGCTTACTAGTTGATTAACTGGTCATCGCAAAAAGGCTAACAGTTGTGATCAACAAGATAATAATCACAATAGACAAGTGTTATATTCTTGTTTTTTTTTTTTTTTTGTATTTTTGGAGTTACTGGGAACTGACACGTGGGAGATAATCTTGTCAAGATATTTTTTTTTGTTTCAGGGTTGAGATTAATTCGGCAGAATTCTCGTGCTTTTCAACAATCCCCCGATTTTTAGTACTGGGGTTGGGTTAAAATATTTTAAATAATCATATATTTTGGTTTTTCTATAAAATGATATGTAAAGTAGTAAAGAGAAAATATTTATTGATGTAATTTAAATAAATGTATTTATGTAAATAAATGTATTTATCTATCTATTTATTTATCTATTTATCTATATTATATATTAAGTAAAAGGAGATTTTTAACCACAAGTCTTGTGGGAGCTCCAATCTCCTAATCTAATTTTTCTAATTTTTTGATTTAAAAAAAAAATCTTAGCATTTATTAACTTCTCGCAACTCCCAAGTACTATCCTCATAATAACATTTTAATGTATTAAAAACAAACATAAAAAAAATTCTTTGAAATCCAACACATATGAATTTCTTGAAAAGTCCCAACATATATGATTATTATCCCTCATAATAACACTTTAATGCATTAAGAATAAACATAAAAAAAATTCTTAAAAAGTCCAACACATATGATTATTATCAAAATATTAAATTTTAATATAATATAATAAAAAAAAGACATTTAATTCCTTTAAAAGTCTAACACATATGATTATTATCAAAATATTAAACTTTAATATAATATAAAAAAAGGAAAAAAAGAAGGCATTAAAAAAAAAAGATATTTAAAAATCGCAAATCACATATATAGATAATTGTAAATACAATCCGTGCATAGCACGCGTGATACGTTAGTACTATATATTAAGCAAAATGGGGTTTTTAAACCCCAAGGCCTGTGGGAGTTTCAATATCCCAATCTGAATTTTTTTAATTTTTTATTTAAAAAAAACTCAGTATTTATTAATTTGGTTAAAATTTCCTGATCAGCATTTATTAACTTTTTTCAAACTCCATATTTTTCCACATGCCTGCATTTATTAATTTGATCAAAAACTCCTGATCAGCATTTAAAACCACCTCATACAAATAATTATAGATACAATCCGTGTATAATTACTGCAGTACCCTTTTCAACTTCTCCCATAAACTATGGTTAGTGATAAGATTATTAAATTATTTTTATAAAAAGTCTTAAAAAAACATAATTTTTATATTAAAAAAAATCTAAAATAAATACAAATATCTAAAATTATCTCGTGCATAGCACGGGTGATAGGCTAGTACATTATATAAAGAAAATGGGAGTTTTAACTCATAAGTCTTGTGAGAGTTCCAATATCCCAACATTAATTTCTTATTTTTTTAATTTTTTAACAAAAAAAAAAAAACTTAACAAATGAATTCTCTCAAGTCTTTTCGATTTCTCCAATAGATTTTTTTTTTTTAAAAAAAAATTAGCACTTATTGAATTCTTTTAAATCTTTTTGACTTCTCTAATAAACACACCATTTTTAACTTTTCACATACCTATTGCAGCTTCCTCACTTCTACCATACCTATTGGACCCTTTCAACTTCTTTATTTCACTTTTACGGGCAACACTTCTTCACTTCTCCCTTGTAAACACTGAGCAAACAGTGAGCAATAACTCTTTCTCACGTATGTAAACAGTGAGCCAGTCAGCCTTTTATTTTGCCTTTTTGATTAGTTCAATAGTTTTATTTTTATTTTTATTTTATTTTAATGTGAACAGTGAGCAATTCTTCATATAGCAATTCCGATTTTATCCCGACCTTTGTTGTGTTCCGGACTCGGATTCTGTGATTGTATGTTGTTGTCTATGTCTTGTTTCTTCCCTTTAATTCCTTGAAATTAAGTTTTGGGGCTTGTTGGGTGAGTTTGAAACATGTTGGTTGTTAGTTGGTATAAATGGTTGTTGCCCAGATTTTGGTCTCTCCGCTCGAGCGAAGCTTTTTGTGCTCGAGCAAGCCTTGAGTAGTTTGCTTCTTTGCTCGAGCGAGGTTTTTTACTCTTGAGCGAGGATTGAGAGTCTTCAGGTTTCTTTCCCAAACGCAGCTTTTCTGGAAAGGTGAAACGCTTTGCTCGAGCGAGGCTTTTTGCGCTCGAGCGAGCTTTGTGGAATTGTTTCTTCGCTAGAGCGAGACTTCGTGCGCTTGAGCGTGCGTTTGTGTCTATGGCAGACCTGAAGCTTTGCATTCTGTGCCCGAGCGACGCTTTTTGCGTTCGAGCGAGGTTACTTGTTGTGTCTGGTCACTCGAGCGATAACTCATTCGCTCGAGCGAAGGTCGTGTATATCAGGTCGCAGTAGAGTGATTTTACTTCACTTTTTGATCTTTTTTCTCCTAAAAACCCTAGATCGGTTGTCTCTCTCTCTAAAACACACACTTTCTCTACAAATAACCCTAGATCTAAGCATCTCTCAACCCTAGTCCCTTTGTTAAAGTGTTGGAGCATCTCAAGGGCTTTCTTTTGATCCGAGCAAAACCGAATTTGGGGCATTCTTGAAGCTCTTCATCATCTCCTTTGGTCTCCTAGCTTTGAGGTAGGGATATTCTACTCTTTGATATGGGTTTTAACCTAGACATTTGTCATTTGTATAAATAGAGAGATTTGAGAGTGATTTGGGTAAAAGTTAAGGTTTGGGCTCTTAACTAAAGAGGGGTTTTCATGTTGTTTTACAAAGTAATCTTGGGGGTTTGTGTATGAGGTTTTTATTGTTAAACTGGTGAGATTTGAACCTGTGGGTTGATGTTTTGGAATAGGGCGAAAATTGCCCTAAGTTGAGTTGAAATAACAATTTGTGTAAATAATGAAATTGGTTTGGGAATTATGAAATTAGGGGAATATGTGATTGAATGGTGTCGTTTGGTTTGATAAATCACACACCTATGAAAAAGTTGATAATTTATCTGTTGATAGATTTTTTTATCTGTTTAGAAAATATCTGTTTTGGACTATTGGTGGAGGATAGCTATAATTGTTGTAGAAACTGTATGAGGACTAGGTAAATTGAAACTAGTCATATGAATATTGTCATTGAATATGACGGATTGATTAAATTGTTGAATATGTAAATTTTGGTAGTTATTGTTTATGACATGTTTTTAAATACATTGTACATGTATCGTTGTTTAGGAGGAGATATGAGATGTACTCCATTGTGTGGGATGAGATAGGAGATGAACTCCATTGAGAATTAAGTTGGCCGGAGTGTCCAGGGTAAAAGTCTCAAAATCTTGTATATTTATGGGTGCCGATTCCCTCGGATGTGACTTCGTAAAATGGCAAGAAAAAAGAAGCGGTGAATAATGTTTGTTATTGAAGTGTTGATAAACGAGTTGTAGTCTCGTTTTGAATTGTTTAGATAATAATGAACTATGTCAATGAATTGATTTGGGTAAATGAATAGAAATGGACTGAAATACGAATGTCGATATTGATTGGTCATGAAAAAGGTGTAAGTTGGTTTATTAGTATTGAACATTTATCTGATGTTGATAGCTTAGTTAATTCTCATATATTGTTTAGCATATCTCTGCTGGGTTTTGGCTCACCTTACTTGGGAAACAATTTTCAGGTACAAGTGACATGTTGCCTCCAAGGACATAGCTTGGGAGGTTTAGGTGCTGAATGCTCCATTTTACATTTTTTGTTTTGTGTTTAATGTAAATTCAAGCCGAGAGCTTTATATGTATAAAGGTAGGACTCTTCTTTTATTGTAACCAAGTGATAACTTGGAAAGATGTAAGCCCGTAGGACACTTAGTTTTGTTGTTAACAATTAGAGTTACATGCTATAGTTTCAAGATGAACATTAATGAAAGTGTAATGCATGTAATATCTTTTGTAATATAGACTTTGATGAATGAGAATATAACATTTCTATTATGTTTATAAATTATATGAATGGTTGATTTATATCATATTTTTTGAGGGCGTTACACTTCACATCTCCCTTGCAAACGCTGACCAAACAGTGAGTATTTCATTTCTTTCTTTTTGGTTCTTTTTTACAATGATTGTGTCTCACTTCTTCTTTTTTTCAATTATTTTTTTTTTATTGTGGGAAAAATGTGATGTAATTATAGTTTGTTCAATGGTTTTTTTTTTTTTAAATATGATTGTATTATAGTTTATTCAATGATTTTTTTTTTAAAAAAATATGATTGTATTATAGTTAATATAATTGTGTTGTAGTTTGTTCAATATATATATATATATATATATATATTACATGTGATTTAATCTTTTTATTTACTGTTTCAATGATTCTTTTTTACAATTATTTTTTTTATTACAAAAAAGATATGACTGTAGTTATATAGCATAAAAATATTTGTGATTTGTATGATTGAAGCTATCTCCTTTTGTGCTTTGTATTTTATTTAGAAAAAAAAATTATAATTTGATTTTTTAATATGATTGAA